TTAGTGAAGGATGCTTTTGGAAGAGCAATTTTATCATTAAAAAAATGACTTAAACTACTTGATAATGTTTCAAGATAATTATAAAATTAAAACTTTATTTTCTAAAAAATTTAAATATTTTACATTTAATATTGTTATTATTAATCAACTTATTATTATTTATAACTTTTTTTATTTTTTTTCTTAATTTAAATGTTTGTGATTGAGATAATAGAGTATTTAGTGTTAATGAATCACAATATTTTAATTAGATTTAAATATATATAATTTTATTTGTATATAATAAAATTAATAAAAAATAATTATAAAAAATGAAAATAAGGTAAATTCACGAGTTAACTCGTAACTCGTTAGAGTTGGGTTAGAGTTGGATTTTTCCAATCCGCAACCTGTTTATAACCCAACTCATATAACCCGTCATCCGAGTTGACCCAACCCAAACCTAACCCAACTTGTCCGTTTGCCAAGTCTAATATTGAGAATTGATGATTCATGACTAAACTTGATCATATATCATACTTGTCCAAAATCCATGCAAACTGTGAGATTGTGCTAATTTATTTTAAGAGTAGGTTGAAAGGTATTTAGTAACATTACAATGTTCAACTAAAGGAATATGTGAACATTAGTTTCTCTCAAAGGTTGTTTGTGTGATATGTTCTCTATCTTTCTTTAATATTAATTTAATGCTAAATTTGAGCTGCTCTTATTTTATATCTTTATTTGTGCTTAATGTCTTATGTATAGTTATAAGTTTTTATCAATCAGATAAGAATTTTCTTGTTTATGGAAATGCCATAGTTTTGTTCTATTAATATAATCTTAGGTGTCTTCAAATATACATATATATATAGTAAATATCAATCTCGTTTAAAAAAAAATAGGAGTCTAAATGTTAAATGATTTTATTTTATTTAATTAAAATTTAATTTAAAATTTACCAATAATTTAAGTAGTCTCTGAAGTCTCATCTCTTCCTGTTTGTCTGTTGGGATAGTACCATCTAGGAGATATGCTCTCATGGGGTCCATCCAACTGGGAGCTTCTGGATCGATGCTGATTTCCATTACCTTCGATGTTTGGAAGCTTGTTTCATTTAATATTTGGATATAGATAGATTTCATGCCCCGTAGCCATCGGATGCTAATTTTAACAAAGAATCTGCATGCTCATTTTCTGCTCTCGAGACTTTCGTCAACTAGAATTTGTCAAAGTGACATCTCAACTCAGAGACTGCGGCCACGTACTTTGCAAGAGTGGGATTTGTGACATCGCATATAGAATTGATTTGATTGACCACCAATTGTGAGTCACTATATATTTGCAGGCGTTTGATCTTGAGCTCGATTGCCAAACGTAGTCCCAAGAGGAATGCCTCACTAAATGTTAAATGATTTTATTTTATTTAATTAAAATTTAATTTAAAATTTACCAATAATTTAAGTAGTCTAGTTATAATTTTTTTTAATACAAAGAAAAGATTTTAAGTTTAAATCACATGACATAAATTAAAGAATAAAAGAGGGTTGCTTCTTTTTATGCAACGCAAGATAAGAAATATATATATAATTCAGAATTTAAAAATTTATCTTATTAAATTTTAATTTTATATTAAAAAATCAAAAACTTAATTTAAAATTTAAAATTTATCCTCTTAAATATTGATGTATAAATTTAAAAAATAATTATATAAAAATATTTAATAAGATAAATTTTTTAATTTTTAATTAAATTTTAATTAAATAAAATAACATTATATAATTAAAACTCTAATTTTTTTTTTAAACTATGACTAATATGTAGTTTTTCTGCAAATTTGTTATGTTTTGGGCATTGACAATGGGGCCCAAGATTGTTTTGGGCTTTTATAAGTGTCGGATTTTGGTTTTGGTTTTAACACCGCTTAAATAAACGGCAACATTTATGGGCCTTACCCACTCGGCTTCGGATCGCTTTGGTTGCGGATGGGTTTCTAC